TCCCCGGCGCTTTGTACCTTACGTATTTGATTTAGGGGGAACTTCCGATGCAAGGTCGATATCCGTCCTCCGAAGAGGGGGGAGAGATTGGCTCGATGCCAAGAAACGGGGAAGACTGGCTTTCCTCCCCCCCTTGGCATATGACATCATTCCGTAGAAATGCAGAGCAGTTGACTCTGGTACGTGCTGGGGTCTCTTTCTCGTGAACTGTGGCCTCGCGTGATGGATTCTTTCATCTGCTTGTCAGCTTTCTAAAACAACACCCGGATAACAAGCGGTAACTCTAGATTCGTTCTTGGCAGACCGATCGGTCCAAGTAAACGCCGTTTCTCTCATCACGTGAGAATCTCACATTAGAGACAGTGACGACAGACGGTGAGAGCCGATGCGAGAGGGAAGAATCGTGTGCGATTCACATGAATATAATAGAATGGAAACAAGTAACGGAGAAACTCCCATCGTCAATTCAAGAAACTATCGAATCGATCTGTGCGTGTATCACGCAATCGAATTCGTCTTATATTTTTCTTCATAGTTTGACCCGTTTTCAGGTGACTCCGACACCCATATACGACCCGTCCCATTCGTTAGCGTTAGAATAGCGATAGAAAAGGGGTCGAAAGCAAGCGGAGATGAATCGATAGAAAGCACCGGTCATAGCGACGATAGTTCGACGTTATGTAACACTATGGAGTTGAATCAAGGGATTACGGGGTGCGTAGGTTTCGCATCTTTCTATTGCGGATACTTCGTGAAACACGCGGGTTGGAATGATTCTCAATGACCGCTCCAGGGCATCAGTGACTTCGTTGCAACTGCAGCCTCTTCGCGTTCTTCTCATGCATATCCTGTTCATGTTGATGGAATGTGCCATATAGTAAGGTCGGTTAAATACATTCCCAAATTGGAAGGAAATATACAGTACTATTTTCCTCTGGAAAAGTGGGCCACAACCGATTTCGGTGAGTGGCGTATCGTTTGAAAGCTCTTTGATGCTGAACACGAAGGTCTTTAGGGGCTTTTTATGAAAATGAAAGTAATATCGCTCTAGTTATGAGGGAAAAACTATCATGATAAAAAAGGAACAATTTTCAAAATATAATTTAATGGTGCGCTCCTCACGACGGGATGTTGAACCAAAAGGGAGCATATATATCCCTCAATATATCTTAACATAAAAAACTAAATAAATAATTAATCTGTGTCAGTGATATCCGGAGAGTCGGAACATTTGAAAAAATCAATAAATAATCTATCTGAGGATTTTATCTCGGGTAGGTACCTGCCTTACCCAAGATATCACAGGCATTGTCCCAGTACCTCTAACTTGTGTCACGAAGGCCTGGATGTCCGACTCGGCCACTGGTATTCCTGTTCCAGCTGATTTCGCGATTTTCCTTCTTGGCAATGGCCTGAGAGACACGTGTCTGGCACGGAATACGATTTTCGTGCCGGTTGCCTCCCAACCGCCGTTTTAGGGCTTCCTCAGGGGTGGGGATTACTTTCTGCTTGATGAGACCTATCTAGTGATGTACTTGTATGTGTCATCGGGGTTTTGGCCTCTTTATGCATGAATCGGTACTTACCGTCTTGAATCTTTCGAAGCGTGTTACTCGGAATGTAAGTTGTATACAGGTAAACACGAATTCAGATCTCTCCCATGATGCCGACATCGAAAAGGCCCAAAAATAATATATTCATTCCATCTTCGGGATCTTTCCATTACCATCATCGGAATCGTGAGTCCCTATGGATGGTCATACGACACCTCTCTGAAAAGTGATGAGGGTCGAGTTCCTCCATAACCAGCGCTAGCGCGCCTCGTGAGACGAAAGGGTTGCACCAACCTACGCTGCTCGTCTGAATCCTCCTCGCGTCCTTCTTTCTCCTTTCAAGGAGAATGGATGGATGCATGGACTAAGATCGTCCCGCCAGATTTTCTCCTTCTGCTCATTGGGCTAGTGCTGTAAAGTCTCGCAATAGGACGCCTCACGTTAATGTGATGCCAAGTTATTGTTTGTCCTCGGAAAGCTTTACGACCCTCACTTGTTGCCCACTTTCACGTACTTACTGATAAGGAGAGATTAGGCAACACCTGCATTATAGCTGCTACTATCAGATAATGCTATAAAAAGGAGAAAAGAGTAAGTAAAGTTGAGAGTAAAATCAAGGGTTTATCTTCACTCTAGCTCGTCTTGCGACATAACTTTTTACGCACTCAAATGGATATATGTAAATAGTTGAACTCTCTAAATCAGTGCAGATCCAAGAGTATTCATTGAAGCTTATTCTAAGAGGCCATGATTATCCCGAAATTTCAATGCTTTATCCCCTAAAATCAATGCGAAATGATTGCCTGTCATAACGTGGTTTGCAGGTTTTCGCAAGATCGCGTCAGAAAAATACAGGTCGCAAACACAGTTCTACCTTGGAATTGATTTCCATGCCTTCAGACGTCTTCGAAACGTGAAAAATCGTCTACTTTGCTTGCATCGAAGGTGCCCAAAGATTTTTGCGATTGGGGCCGCATAGCCTGTGGGCAGCGACCCGCAGGCCATAAAATCCAAAACTTTTGCTATACAATATGGCAAGGGTGCTGGGGCAGGAGAGGAGGGGCGCTGAGCCAATGCTTTAGAGGTCTAGATTATGGCAAAAAAAAAGTGCCACTTTAATTTTTTACTCATCCGAGTCTCATTATTCTGCGTGTAACGTCTCCGATAAATAGGAAAGACTCCCCCACGTTTCGAGAATTTCTGCCTTTGCTTCAATTACAAAAATGTTACTAAAGTTAAAGTTCCTAAAATCTGTGTGAAGAAACAATCTGCACTCCACGGCTGCTCCTCGCCAAGTATGTCACATCGGTCCTCTAACATGGCAGAACGCAAGTGGCAGGTGGCTTCAGATAAGAAATTTTTATTGATTTCAATACCACTTATCTCGTGTTATTACAGTTCCAGCTGCATTAAAAAAAATTTTTAATTTTTAAAATTGTAATTTCTTCAAAAGCTTTTCTGCTGGCTTTCTCTTCATTCGTCTGAGATGTCAAATGCAAAAAAAGCAAGAGATTCGCTTGGTGTTGGAGGGAGTTGTTTTTACAAATAAATTGACGCCTTTTTATGTAATGCAAATTGATCGCATTTACGCATGATAATAAAGACCAAGTTGTCCTCTGAGACAGCTTGCCGTCTGCCACTCAACCATGTTGTGGCGTGTAAATTTAAAGTACCTGGGAAGACTCAGCTGGGAAATTCCTCTTCAATGCGAATTTTCTTTAGCTTTGAAAAGTTGTCACATTTGAAGCACCAAATGAGACTTAAAAAAACTTGATCGTAGTGCTTCTTATTCATTACTGCAATGACACATTCAGAAAACCCGGGGCCTCGCAAATCAGATGGAAATATCAAAAGTAAATAAACTTGAGCCTTTTTCAAGAGAATGCATGTCTGATGGAATGATTCTTGGAGCAGGCATGCCGGTCATCCTTCCCTGCGTGCGCCGCTGTCCGTTCTCTCTTGTCTATTATTTTTTCTTCCGAATTTTCTGTCCCAAATGCCTTCCGAGCCGCACACTGGACAACCCCCTTCTTTAGAGGCTTCAACAGACCACTGCGAATATTCGTAGCTTGTTCTGCTGGGGCAACGAGGCAGATTCGTAGTCTTGGCGAACCAGGCACGCACGCTGTAGCAAGAAATGCCCCCCTCCCCCCAGTAACTATATGCGCGTTAACTGGTAGCGGAAAAGATCCCTTATGGAAATCCTCAATTGGGTTCGATACGGAGTCGTATTACCGGTATATTTACAGACCATGCTGGAAGGTGGGAACAGTTCACAGCCGCAAGGTCCAGCCGCTGAATTCATGAATTCGATATTCGAGCGAGAGAGAAGTACATGTGTTTAATGGAGCCCCAAAAGCATAGAAAAGGAAGCTTTAGTTAGAGGAATCTCACGAGTTTTATCCCGTGGTTTTTTTTTTCACCTTTCAATGAAGAATCCGAACTCCCAACGTTTCAATTCCGTTTCTTGAGGTCTGTAACGTCATTAGCGATGATACTCAGTTCCGGCTGAAACTTTCTTGCCTGTTCAAGTCCAAGTGAGCAAGGATGAGTCACCGAAAATGGACTTCTCCGAACTCCATGAGCCGACTCATGGCGTTTCATAACCCCCACTTTCAAGTTTCATTTCTTTCAGGATGTCAGCCTTCTACTTCTCTTCGAGTTAATCCCGGTCTCTGGCCAGGCCGACTTCACATGAACGCAGCAGGCAAAAGTTTGTGTGGAATTGTGTGTAAATGAATGCTCATGCGCGCTCTAAACTATTTAAATATGGCGGAGCGCACGTGCAGGACATGCTCGTGCGCTCACTTGCTAATTCTCGCTTTCACCCCACAATTTCGCCTCTTCCGTCGTGAGAACGTAGCGATACGCTTGTACACCATTCTTCGACTGCTCTCCCTAGCATAGCTATATGTAGCCTATTAGGCTAGATTTTAATTTTCTTTTGAATTCAACGTTTTGTCTGTTCACGGGATTACCAAACTGTTGGACCTGAAGTGAATCCGTACTGTGAATGTATGGGGATGACGAGGTTGGGCTGAAGGAAATATTGATCTCATGTCGAAGATGGTACAAATTTATTTAAAGAATTTACTTTCCATTTTATGCAAGTGCACAGACTATTCTCCTTGCTGGCAGGCTCTAGTCATTTACATTGCTAGGTCTACTTGTTGGTATTCTTACCTTTTCCTAACATGGTCCTATTGGTTTCTTGTGGTGCCTATCAATTAGGCCAGTACACATATGGCAATGGTTTCTTTTATCACATTAAATAAATTCATTCTTATATTTCAAAAGACTACAGCTCCATTATAGCCAAAGAGACCTAAGCTTAGCATAGGCCTACCCTGCATGGGTGTCAGAGCCACTTGGAAAGGTATTAAGTTCAAATGAAAAATAAATAAACAGTAGTGTGTAAATAGTAAGGTAATGGCATTTTTCCCTGTTGCAGGTTGGATCTCTCAATGGGCAAATTCAATGGGAAGAGATGTCGCCTCCTCACCATGTTTGGATTGACAACAAGCTTCTTTATAGTCGAAATTGTTGTAGGATACATCACAAATTCCATGGCTTTGGTGGCGGATAGCTTCCATATGCTCAGTGATGTAGCTGCACTTGTGATAGCCTTTCTTTCTGTTCAGGTGAGACTGTTGAGATTTGGACCTACCCTAGCATTACAAATTATTGGCCTTCAGTGTGAGCTTGAAGCAGATTGTAGTCAGCATTAGGATTAGGCTTAACTTTGCTGGGCTCAGGTCAAAGTTTGATGTTCAGCTATGAGTTTATGCTGCTCTCTATTCTGCAGATGTCTCCAAAGAAATGGTCCAAGAACACTTTTGGATGGGCAAGAGCTGAAGTCCTTGGTGCTCTAGTCAATGCTGTTTTCTTAGTTGCTCTTTGCTTTTCAATACTGGTGGAGTCTCTGAAGAGGTAAGCATAGAGATTTTTTCACTTGTATCCCAGGCATGCCCCTGTATTGAATAGTGTGAAGCCCTTCAATCTGTGAAAGGCTTTATTGCTAATAAGTCATGATAAAAGATTATTTTTCCACTTAAGAGCAAAAAAATTCCTGCACCTGGGATCATATAACAAAGAAACCATACTCATTGCAACTGTGGAATTCTGTAACTCACCAGAAACCCCTGAAAGCTACTTAACAGTTTTTAACAGCCACTATTAGGATTTTAACCCTTTTTGGCATCCAGGTCAGATGCGCTAGACCTCCTCACTGTGTCCAAATGTTTTGAGAAAATTAGCTGCAAGTACTTACAGCACTAAAATCACTTTAGAATTTAAACAAGTTAAGATGAACTGACAAAACTTTCACAGAAGACTGCCCAGTTAGCTAGGTGATTTGTAGAGTGCTAACAAGTGCCATTTTTGGATATTTGCGAGTTTGGTACACTTTTATCAAGTAAAAACTAAGAATTCTGAGGCATCATCTAGTACAGCAACTCCCAAGCTTTTGACCTCTGCATACTTGTCTTCAGGGTGCATATGCAATGTACCACCACTTTTCCCACATATGCAAATCCATATGACTAGCACTATATTATGCGAGTTTTTAAAAATAAGTATGTTTTAGAAACCTTTTGTGTACCTCCAGTGGTACAAGTACCTTGTTTGGGAGCCATTGGGCTTGTATGTTAATTTTTAAGCACTTTCTGGCGGATTCTGACTGTGAACATGATTCATAGCTCTCACGATCAAAGGACTGATCACTAACTACAGCAAACTGTTCTCCATCAACATTACTAATAACACTCTCACTATGTGACACATTAGAAATTGAACAAATCTCAAACATATCTTCAATTCTTCCATTTTCTCAATCTCAGGATGCCATGTTAGCCACTTCCACGCATAATGAAAAATAAATGCTACGTTAATATTAAGGTGGAAATAACATTTATTTGCATCCTAAAGCATAGACAGTTCAAAAATGAAATGTTTTCCACCAGAAAATTTTGCCTATAATACACACTTCAATGAGTAAAAAAAAAAATATTGGCACAGGCATTAGGATGAGTACACAGGATCATGCCGAAAGGGTTTAAATTGTGACTCATCCTTGCAAATTTGGATTCCTGAAATAGTGATTTTAGCTGAGTGTCTTTTTTCATAAGAAAATATGTGAAGGTAGAGCCTTGCATTGCATGCCTTAGATTATGATCTATAAATTTAAAAAACCACACTGCTACACTCATAATTTGGAAGGCTCATAATTTGAATGAAGATTATAGAAAAGTTTCAGATTTTTTGTAGATCCTGATGGAAAACTCTTATGAGACAATTCATCCTTACAATATTTTATGAGTAAGGATTGATTTTCCATTTGAAATCAAATTGGAAATGAAAAGATCTGTATGAGGACATGGTCAGACAGCAAATTTGACACTACCTTGTAAATAGGTTCACATAGGGTCTTAGACAAAGTGAGGTGAATTTAGCACTAGTACTCAGGCATTGTTACACAAGACATTCCACAAATAAGATTCTCATTTGTCAGTACAGGTGACTCTTGTTATACACGGGGGTTGCGTTCCCGAGAATTGTGGAAGCTTCCATAGCGCCTGTGGTTAGGGATAATGATAGTCTCCATCAAAATGAAACCACGGATATGCGAAAACGCATATAACGAGAGTCACCTGTATGTATAATCTATAACAGTGCCCTAGTGAAAGGTAGTACACCAGCACAGAGATCTGACCAGCTCTCAAGTTTTCAATCCAGCTCAGATTGAGTTCAAGGAGTTCAAGATGATGTTCAAGGAGTCAGTTCAAGATGATGTAGATCTTCCTAACTCTCAGATTCTGTTCAATTCAGGTTTGAGGAAGTTGAGTTTGGGTTTCTTTGAGTTCAAGGTATAAATCAGGCATTTCTATTTTAAGTTTATGTTTACTTTGGGCTGGGTGTCTAGCAAAGTGTGCAAGTGTGTTGGGCCAGCATGCTTTCATTCCTCCCTGACAGAGCTTTCCCTGGAGGGGAAAGCCCTCCTCCCACAGTAATCCCAGCTCTTGTCAGGTCCCATTTGACCTCTCCCAGGAATGAATGCATGCTTCCTTCAGCCTGGCTCAGCCCTCAATAGTGTATGCTCCCATGTCATGGGTGGGATGGAGAAGGAAGCAAGAGAAATAGGGGGAAAACAAAGTCTCATAGTAGACTACTTTTCTTCATCCAGTACTCATCCCCCTCCCTGCATATTTGAGCCCCCCAGCTTGCTTCAAGGATTTTTTGCAGGGAGCCCTTGTCTTTGATTTATAGCATTGGATAGTTTTATGAAAAGTAATTTATTCCCTATGGATTGTGCAATAAGTATACATTTATTGTATGGATCTGTAACTATACTGAACCTCAAGATATATGGGGTTGCAGTCAGAACTGTGGAAAGAATCCCAGGAGAAATTTTATTGAATACTTTGAGTGAGTGAAGATGTGAAGCCCATAGATGTATACAGGGTGCTCTTGGAAAAGTTCAGATGTTATCAACAAAGGGTGCAACATTTTGTGAAATTCTCTGGTGTCATTTTGAGGTGTACCTCCTTTTGGCAATGTATCAGCTACTCACTTTTAGTCTAATCATGTACTAGGCCTGGGATAGGATACCAGTTGTCAGGTCTAGAAAGTGACATGTAATGATTTTTGAGGTTCACAAATTGCATTGTCACTTCTTAATGTCATCATTATCATCCTTGACAATGAATATAAAGTGGAAATCATAGTCAAGAGAGAGGACATGTGGCAATCAAGATGATTCAGGAGCTTCAGAACTGTTGGTGAAATGTGCAAACCCTCTCCAAATTGATGCTCCAAAAGAACCAATGTGTATTGCAAAATTGCTGCCCTTAACACTTTGCACTCCCCTGTGACACCCCATGCACCATCACTGTGATTATATCACATGGGGCATGGCAGTGGGTTGCAAAGGGTTAATCCTTCAGGAATTTTTCATTATGCAATGTTTTTATCACCCCTCATACACCAAGCCACCCACGTGAAAATTTCCATATATGAAATGGCCATATATTTAACCAGTCCAACATATAAGGGGCATATATGACCATATAGTGCAATACATATATGAACATATGTGAAACATGTATGGGGTTTGACACAAGTCACATAAAATCAATTTGACTGACAACTCAGAAGATAGATGGGAACAGAAACTGTATTTCTTTCTGAAATTATCCGATGAAGGAATTGTTCAATGAAGGCAAGGCACAGCATGGCATGTGCCCCTACCTTACAAAAAAAAAACCATTAATACAAAGGAAAGATGCATGATAACAATGTCCCAAAGTTCCCATGCCCCCCCCCCTCCTCCCACACTTTTTCATCTGCGATACACTTATGCTACCTAGAGAGGGTAGGGCCCAGTTTGAAATCCTCACTGGAATTTTTCAGGTGGACAGAAGCTGTATATTCTGACCATTTCCAGCTGGCAAAGAGCTGAAAAATGGTAGATACAGGTTGTTTTACAGCTGGAAATTTACCATTAGAATTTTATACAGAGGACCCTCCAGTTGAAATGCAGCTGAATTTACAGTTGAAATTCAGCTGCTTCTGTAGATGGACCTCCAGCAAGAATAACCAAAAAAAGCATTTTCATTCTACCAGTGTATTGCAATTAGGAACAATCTGGATCTGACTTTACTTTCCAGCTGCTACCCAGTTGGAATAGGTCTGAATTTTCAACTGAGGTTCAGCTGGAAATTATAGCTGTTTCCAACAAGGACTTTCAGCTGGGGAGTTCAAAATCAAACTTTTGGCAAATTACTTTAAGGGCTATGTACTTAATATTTCATGCAAAATACAATAGGTGCATTAAAAATAAGTTGCAGAGGCATCTGAAGGTCAATTGCCTTCATGTGTAACAACCACATGCAGTAGTGTATTTTCTAGGGAGGGGGCAGGGGAGTGCAGCTGCCCCCCCCTGGCATCCCTGGGACAGGGCTTGGTGCCTCTACTCTGCTGCCCTGTCCCCCCTGACTCTTCAATCAAAATACACCACTGACCTCATGCTATGTTTTACTTATAACCATAAAACTTGCCTATGCATATTCACCACATATCAGGCATGATGCCATTTACCCATCATATATAATATTGCAATGCAGGTAAAATATATTATGCACCATACAATTGTTAATATATGAATACATATATGGTGGTATATGGCAAATATATGATCATACATGACCATACAGAATCATACACCCTGTCATACATGGAATTTTCACTTGGGCAGTCATGTTAAATCTTCAAGGATGGGGAGAATTACCCTCCTTCAGTGCTTTAAGCATTAAATTGTCATGCTGCTGTATTGTACTTCTAGTTTTGCATGAAACTTGATTTGCCAAGTATAACTCATATTATCCTTTTCATGTTTCAGGATCCATGATATAGAAGAGATTGAAAATCCTCAACTGGTGTTGTATGTTGGTGCCTTTGGCTTGTTAGTGAACCTTGTAGGAGTGGTTTTGTTTTGTGGTAAGTTCCACACATTGACAGCTTGTTGGAAATCAGGCCAAGATCACTCTCAGAGTAACTACTTATGTCTGTAAAAAGCTTTTAAAGTGAAATTTCTCAACATTAGAGAACTTATTTGGCTAATGATAATGTCTTAACACTCTTTGAATAAAAATAAGGTCTTGTAAACGACTGGCATGGACTTGGGAGGTGGACTTTTGACTGCCAGATGCAGAATTTTGAAAAAAATACACAGAATTTTGGGGGTTGTACATCAAGCTTTGAAGAATGCCTACTAAGATATGAAAAAGTGTTTTAGCAGTTGGGAAAAACTAAACCCATTAGGTGTATTGCCACATAAGTCAAAACTTGCACTTGCATGGTCTTCTTTCACTGGCAATGAGAATTGAGAGCTGCTATCAATAAAGGTATCTAACCTGCTTCCAATCCACTTCCTTCAGATGGTAAAAGAATTTCCCAGGTTGAAGTTTAAAGTTTAGATATAGGGTAGAGGCACCAGTTTGTGGACAGTTTTGCATTTTTTGCCATTTCACACAATTCCATCTGAAAATTTATTTCCTTAAATGCTCCATATTTTGCACTTACCTGTCAGCCACCATATAAATTATGCATACCCATCAGCATGAGTGAACTTTTCATTTTAGCTCAGTTTTAGACCTAGCACCCCTGAATTCCTTAATTTTTCCAATTATGTTTCTTAACAGGACATCATTGAAGATAAATATAATCTGTACGTGTCTCATGCCCATATTTTTCTATTCGACCTATGCACATTCATAATTGTTGACAAAAACTGGTGTCCACAAACTGAAATCAGGCTGTCTACAAATAGGAACCATATGAAAATCAGCAAATATTCATTAAAACAGCAATTTTGGGAAAAGTATATTTTTAATATTTAATTTTATGGTATGGGCATCAAGTTATGGTATGGGCCTCCGATTGAAACCAATGAAGCGGTTTCTCAGTTACTCCAATGACTGTAACACAATTTTCAAGAGGAAAATTTCCTTAACCTGTCCACGAACTGGTGCTTATATTGCTTAATGGTAGATTCAGAAGAAGCACTGCAGGTTTTTTTAGATGAGGAATCCATGTATATACTGCAATTGAGGAACAGCTATGAGGAAATGTTTTTGAAAGACACAAAATGCTTCAAATGAAATGAATGTTGATAGGCCAACCTTTATTCATCCACTTTTTCTCCCCTGTAGATCATGGACATGATCACATAGGCCACTTACATGCTCAGCCAGGAAAGGGTCATGCACACTTGCACGAGCTGATGGCAACGGATGACAATGAGAATGATGAGAGCCTGAAAGATCAGTGCAAACAGGAGGGATGTGATAAGTCCAACAAGACATCAGCATCTCAAATGAATATGAGAGGAGTGTTCCTTCATGTCTTGGCTGATGCCCTTGGCTCAGTGATAGTTATAGTTTCTGCTGCTATTATTTGGCAGACAGATTGGAAGTATCGCTTTTATCTTGACCCTGCTCTTAGTATATTGATGGTCATCCTCATTATGAAGTCTGTTTGGCCTTTGCGTGAGTTTCCTGATTTTATTTCTCATTGCCTGTTCTTGTAATCTGATATGCAAGAGCATAGCCTAGCTTTTCTGTTCCCTCACAGTGGTGGAAAGTGCAATGATCTTGCTACAGACAGTGCCAACTCACATTGATATGGACAGAATCAAGCAGCAGCTACTTACAGAAGTGGATGGTGTGCTTGCAGTGCATGAGTTCCACGTGTGGCAATTAACGGGTAATCGGATCATTGCTTCTGCTCACATCTGTTGTCGGAATCTTCACGACTACATTGAAATTGCCAAGAAAGTCAAGGAAATCTTCCATAACCAAGGCATTCACTCAACCACCATCCAACCTGAGTTTCTTGAGGTAAGCTGGTGGTTATTTTGACTTATCTTTAGTTGCTTTGCTGGAGCACTTCATGCAGTGTTATGTATTTCTACACTATGCCAACTGGGTCCTTCATGCCAAGGGCTTATTTCTTCTGTTTTCATGGTGGGATGATTCCTATAGTATGCAGATGGGGTATCAGAGAGCTCCAACTGTGTTCTTGACTGTCCACCTAACCAAGATTGCTCTGCATCCACATGCTGCCCACCTCCAAAGGTATGTCATCTCTTCATGCATGAGGTTTCTTGATTCTTGATTCTTCATTCCTCATTCTTCATTCCTGATTGAATAGGCATGTTGGCTAAATCCACTTCTTTGCCATGAATGCCACTAACTATGCACTCATCTTTGCTCTTCTGCAGTGCATTTTGGATTCAAGCTTTTTAATAATGAAATGTCAATGAGAATAATTCAGACCATAACTAAACCCTCTGCTGATTGTCAATTTCCCAGAACAAATAGGCCCTCATCAAAGGGGTCATCTTGGGCAAATTTATCTGTGAATGTAGAGTGCCTCATAATGATAGACCCCCTGCACAGAAAAAATAATTACACTATTTGTTCCTTCATATTATTACAGTACATATTGAGACAAACCCCAAAATACATATCATGGTCACTATTAACATTTATGATGATTTGAAGTCTTTAACTGATATTTTTCATCTTTGAAATTTTGAGCAACAAGGGCATAGCCTTATTGCAGACTTTTCAGGACATTGTCTATTGATCCTCTATTGTTACTGAAGAGAATTAAATTACATCTTGAGCATAAGAGCTCTATGCTATCTTTTATCTTTTTTCCCCCTGGGCATCCACACCCCTTTATTTTCACATAGAGTAGCAAGTCCTTGACTACCCAAGTCAATCAAAGGAAAGATTAAATTCTCTTCCATGGGAATAGTGTTGTGACCTGATAATTTGTCCGATTTGAATGCCTCTGATCAAATTGGGACTTTAGCAAAGAAGATGGTCATACTTGATCTATGGATTGATTGTAGGCTTGGCCCTATATTCATCAACTGGGTCTCAGTGGTTAACTCAGTTTTTCTCGTCTTGCTGCTTCTTTGTGCAGGGGGATCTATCATATCATGACACTCTGCATCTTAATAATGCATTGCACTCATTGTGATCCTTTCAGAAATCAAAGAAGATGAAAAGCCATGAAGCTGCTGTTCCTGATGTATCTGTAGTGATATCTGTTTCTACTATTGGAACCATTGACACAAAACATCTTAACAACACATTATATGATGGTGCCTGACATGCAAACCTCCATGAGAGTGCAATGGATAGTGTGACATAAAACTGCTCCATAGTTCCAGTTTCTCTGTCAAGTCATGGATCCATATTTTAAAATTCATCTCAGGGTGTGCCTTCCTAATTGGGATTGTGGAAATATTGCATTTATGATGCAGTTTTGGATTATCTGGTCAGACATTTGAATCAAGCATGGTCATGGATTGTTGAAAGCTTTTCTCAAACTGGATGAGTTTAACAGCGTTTTAAAATGTTGGAGGTTCAGCGTATTATTGACCATGTGTGGTACCTGCATGTGTCATGTGATATCTGAAATTTTTTGCTCAAAGGTGAAGTCATTTTATGTAATGATAATGTGAAAAAGTATTTTTGTATCAAGTTTACTTTTAGTTCAATGTCATAGATGTAAGCATAATCCTTAGGGTCAGGGTGAAGAAAGCTAGCCACTCTCCTTATTGTGAGGAGACTGGTAGGCCTAATGGCCCATTGATGATGAAATGTAAGATATGATGTAGGAAAAGAGATTACACTAGAGTATATCTGAATTTTCATTTTACTGAAACTGTATCTGGCAGCTATGAATGGCTGGCAATGAAATTCAAGTTTATAGGTCAGAGACATAGTGAGACATTCTCATGTTTTGTGCATATAATCTCAGACAAGGCTGTATTGAATATGAAAAGTACCATTTTATCAGGGGCTTATCAGGAGAGCTTTTCTTTGGTTTTACCTTTGCATCAGCAACCACCAGGTTGGTAGTTGATGCATCATCATTGCTTCTTTGGCATCAACTGGTTTTACTTTCCCAATGCCTCTCAAAAGAAAAGAGAGGATCTTGTGCACATGGGGATATGTTGCTGTGCTGGACTCTTCCTTTTCAAAAAAAATTAAAAGCAACAGACATTCCTGACCTTTCCTGTGTAAAATATTGAATTATGTAACAACGACTTCAGTCAAATGATGACATGGGGCATACTGGTGGAATTTCCATATTTTTTTCAAGATGTAGGCTTGAGGCAAAGGATTTACGCATTTGTCCATGATAACAGGGCAGTCTTAAAGAATAAAGGCTATATTACAAGCATACCTTTTCATGCCCGATGACTATATTAAGTGATGGATTTGACTTCCCATCACACTTAAATATATGTCTTCCAAGAAAAGTCAAATGGTTCTAGCCTCTTCCACACCATAAATAGCTTGGAGAAGTTATGTCATAAATCAGAATCAATACCAGTTCTGGTCAGTGTGTGTGAGGTTATGACCAGCCATTGGCCCATCAGTCAAATACCACCCTCAGTCAAATACCATGGCTTTTCTCTCTGGAGCTAATGGATTTAGTTTATTTTGTGAGCAATGGAAAGGAAGGGGTTTAAGAAGGGGTACTGTCTACATGGAGGCACAGGTTGAAGATACCCAAAATTGCATGGGTAATAGAGCAGGAAAGCAACACATTAAAAGTCAGTCAATATTTTTCATAAAAATACTTTCAGTTTGCAGGTATCTCCATTTCACCATAGAACATCAGAATCATCATATCTTCTCATTGATAGAGGCTGAAAGTAACTAAATAGGACTGAATGCCATCTTTTTCTTGCAGAATGATGTATCAATGCTTCAGGCTCCATAGAGAGCACCAGCTAAAGCAACCTATCACCTGGATTACTTCGCCCGCTTTCATGCTGGTAGCCTCATCATATCACTGGGATTTTGCATGTGCTTCCCATTTCCCCTCTTGTACAGGGACCTTGTATAGTGACCTCTTCCTAAAGTCGACCAATGAATGGCAGTTTCCTGTGAATACTATTGAATGGAATGAACACAAACTTGGGTAATTGAGTACTGGGTGTGTGTGCTCTCCCCCATTTTTACTGTTACCCTCCACCCTCTGGGACATTGGCCCCAGAGCAGGTGCATCTGAATTTCTGCATCAGTTGTTACATAATACAATTTGTGCCAGATAACAGCTGCCTGAAGATGTACCCACTATGTGGCCTCAGAATTCCTTCAATAATGCAATTATTGTCTGGAGTGATAGTATGGTGATTACTCCATTTGCACCATGGGACTCTGCTACCATTTTGTATCATTAATTGGTCATGTGATATGCATATGAAGTGAGGCCCTTACTGCCTCCTGCTTTCATCACCATATATAAATATTATATGTATCCAATAGTCCCTCTCCCAAGTTTCAGTTCATTTTGTCCATCAGCTATTCCAGGAAACTACCATTCATCTGTCAACTTTATTTATGGGTCACCCAGTAACTTACCTTTTCATTGCTTTAGTTTTCATTGGGCTAACTCTGCATGACTTACCCAACCTTGTGATGGTGAAGTTTTCATGTTTTTGGAATGACTTCAAAATATTTTCTATTAACTTTGTATATTCTTTGATGAATAACATAATATTTGGTTGTTAAAAAATATGATTAACATATGCAAGGTTAATTCATATTCATTGTGTGAGCTTTCTCCTCCTACTTATTGCCTTAAGATTTTATTTTATCTGGTGTGCCATTCAGTTTACCAGTGTGGCAGAGGTGTTATATGAAGTCCATTCTAATTAACTACTTCTGCAATTCATTTTGGCAGTTTGTCACTTTAAGATGAATACCATTTTTTGCAAGGTTTAAGTTTTGGTTTTGGTTTAAGTTTTGGTTAGTGATGATGAATGAAACAACTGAGAAACTTCCTCCAAAAAATGGTAGGGTGAGGTGGGGTAAAATAACAATGCAGTAATATAATACAGCTTCCTCTTTCAGAAAATATATGAGATGCAGTTTTCTATATAACAATGTATATAATATATAACAATTCACTCTTCATTCTTTGATATGACATAATTTGAGTTTCTCTGTGTTGGGTTGATAATGTGCTTACTTTAATTGCAGTTTAAAACTTTATCCAAAACTTTTAATCTTCTGCTGATGTTTCATTTTTAATTCCTATGAAGGATATGGACTAAAGAGCTGGACAGAGTCAACATCTGATGCCTGATTTTTGTATCTAACTTTTGATTTTCCAAATGAGACTTGGGTCCATCACATCATCTGTCAAGTGCAGTGCTATATTGGCCCTTGGAATGTTGGGCCATGGAGTAATTATAATTTCTAATCAAATGAAGGTAGTCTTGTACATGCTTTCAATTTCAATTACTTTCAATGCTGCTCATAATTTTCTTTAATAAACAATAGGTAATATTGATTTAAAAGTATTGTGGACAACTAAGTAATGCTCTTATTGGACAATTCCACAAAGAAAGGCTTTATAGAGGGAATGGTGACATTGGAACCTTTTGGAGGTGACCACAATAATTTTTACCATTGACCCTAAACTTACACAAGATTCACATACTGGTAGTGATTTTGACAATGTTGAGAATTTGGTAAATGAGCCCAGAGGTGCAACAGGAAAAATTTTAAGGAGGGATATGAAAGGTGGTCTATGAATAGGAGTTATGGGTTTCTTTTGGTTTTTCTAGAAGTTTTTTCTGGTTCAAGTCAATAGTCATGACCTTGGTCAAGCCTTCATTGTGCAGTTATATTGACTTCTGTGGATTTCTCAGAAGTTTCTGTCTTGAATCAAGCCAAGATCTATTTAAACTAGGATTTGTCAGCCAAAGTTGCTGTTCTGTTGATTGCTCTGGATGACTCCAATTATTTGGGTTTTGAACCTAGGCCTGAGGGATTGCTGGATTCTGACATAATTTTTGAGAAAGGAAGTACTGGGAAAAAACTTGGAAATATAGAAAAGAGGTCTAGACAAGAGGTTTGAATGAAGAAGACCTTCCTCTACATTTTACTTCAAATAATAAAAATCAGCAGAGAGTGGCTCAGGCTGCTTCAACTTTATCACCTCCTTTTGTCTTGTTTTTAGCAAAAATTTGTTCAGTTGTTCCACAGTGTAATCATAGTATTTCATCAGCAATGTTACAATGCCCCCTTGGTATGTGATAACTGCCCCATTTGGCCAGGCAAAAGTAAATTGAAACAAGTGTTTCAAATGGAGATCACTTTAACCCCTATCTGGACAATTTAAGTCCATTGGACTCTGAACCATATATCTTTCTGTCATGATTATGCATAATCATGACAGAATAATTTAAATATATATTTGTTAGTTGAATTTTGTGTCTTTGTTATGACTTGCTTAGAGAAGGTAAGTAGAAGATACATGTATTTAGTAACAGTTTTGAATTTGAAAAATATTAGTTTCATTTCCAGTATGAAATGTGTGGAGTTCATTGGACTTGCATGTCCATTAATGTTGCAAAAATACCTTGTGTAGATAAGGGTTAAGATTGCTTTGGATTTAAAATATGACAGCCATTGGAATCTCTTGTACATTATATGGAGGGGGGGAGGATTCAATCTTTGCTGTCATTCTGTATGCTTGCTGCCCCATAATTTGCAATTGTGTGTTTTTCAGGCAATTACCCCACCTCACCTTAATATATAGTGTTTTGGATGAGGACAAAGAGCAGTATAAATGCTATTAGTTGAATCAGATTGTGCATTCTAGTGCATATTTGGGCTTGAGGGGTGTAGTCAATGATGGTTGATTTATGAAACAGAAATGACTACACTGATTGGTGAAATTCCATTTTCAAATTTGACAAAAATTATAGCTGAATTAGACTTAAGACTTTACTAATCTCACTGGTTTTCTAAGATAAACTGGTTCTAAAATTTTGTGAAGAGGCCTGCTACTGGCTGCACAAGGAATGTGTATCGAGAAGTTGAGAAAGGACTAAAATGGGTTGAAGGAAAGGACTTAACATAAGCTTTGTTTTTGGAGCAAGTGACAACTCAGTCAAATGAAATGTAAAAGTGATAAATTTTGCAAAACAAAGGTGATAACATCTCTTCTTCAAACTTGGAAATTTAAGAGTAAAACTTAAAATTTATAAGAGATGCTTTGAATTGAATTGGAAAAGTTAGAGAATTTTGTCAATATCCAAGGTCCCACATGATGACAATGGGGCAGATGAGTCAGGAGAA